TCCTTTAAAAGCAGAACAATGTTTTTTTTCCTTCTTTTAAAAATATCAGGAATAAAATAAAAAGGAAATTAAATAGAGATAATTTTTTTTAAGTTTGAGGTAAATAAATTTATTTTGATTCTAAAAACCAACAATAAATTAAATGTGGAATTAAAATTAATAATTGGTCAAGATTCAAAATCGAGATTAATCATAAAAAATCTAAAGTAAAAGATTTTTTAACATCTGCTTTGAAGATCATGAAAAATTTTTTATTTTACCTTATAAATTTTCATTTATAAGGTGATTATTTTAAAAAGATTATGCTTGTAAGTTTTCAAATATAAATATCTAAGATAAGTTTCTCTCCCACATGTTGATAGCTTTTTAGTATTCTGCTGAGAGTTTATTAAGATAAAAGCTGAAAATTATTTCTTGTTATTTAAATGTTAAATAACATGAAATTTTGAGAAAAAAGTTATTGAAAATAACTACAAATACAAAGCTTTTTTTTTTTGTTGATAATTTTATCTTCAACCAAAATATTTGATAATCTAATACAATATAAAATCACATAATTAACTAGATATAAGTTTAAAAATTCATTTAGGAAATTTTCAGGATTTTTGAGTTGGTCTCACAATCACCCTTGCAAGTGTTATAAGAAAAGTAATTATATTTAAAAAATGACATTTTCGTCACATTTTAAGTAATTTGAAATATAGGGTGATATATAATATACAGGGGTTTTAGCATGATTTTAATTGATACACTGTATAAACCATGTTACATTACATTCAAATCTCAATCTGGTCAATATTTAGCAGCTCATGTTGGAATGAATATGCACTATTGAAGAAATTGCCTTCTGCCAATTTTTAATATTACTTCTAAATGCCATAAATATAATATCAGTGGTTGTTTAGAATTACATAAACATATTTTTATTGATTCTGGAATCCCTTTCCCCCCTTATCATCAAAAATTAATAAACTGCACAAAAATAAATAACAGATATAAATCTAGGAAAATTGTTTGCAAAAGTCAGTGAAAATCATAGATTTGAAAACTCTAGTTTCAGCAGTTACTCTCTGTTTTAATATTCATAAATACAATAAATTTAGAATTAAGTAAAAAAAGAATTTAATCTTAAAAACAAGACATATACAAAATGGAGTTAATTTAATAAGGGTTTATAAATACAAGTATATTACAGAAGTAATTTTCTGGGTGCTGCTTCCGAATTCAATCTCTAATTTTTCCTTTCCGTAAAGTAAATCCCTTTCCAGTGAAAGCTTCAAAATTGTCTTCAGGAGTTTTATCCTAAAAGAGCATATTTTATAAAATTAAAAACCGAATTCAAAGAAAAATACAACAGGATTAAAAAATCAAACCAAAAACATGAACAGCAAACAAAATAACAAGCTCAAATAAAATTTAGTGTGTTAATACTTTTGTAACATCACAGAAATCCAAGATGTCTCATTCTTCTATTTTTAAATCCAACTTTACATTTAAAATATATAAGGTTAGTGAAAACGTTTTTTAGATATCCCTTATAGTTTGCTACCAAGGTTCTCTCTAAATAAGAGTAGATTAGATTATTAAAAGAGATATTTAAGAATAAGTTGATTCTTTTTTCTTGTTATGTATTAATTTTAAAAAATTATTTCGAGTTTCAATAAATAAATAAAATTAGTAACTATTAGTTACATTCTTTTTTGAAGAAGAAACAAGAATAAATTAATTTTATTAATTGAAATAATGTGAAATATCTTAATTCTAGAACGAAAAATACTCAAACACACATTAACAATGTACTTACATTATTTATATCCTCTGGTCTTATAGTTCTAATAAATC